AAAAGAGAAATGCATCGAAGAAAGTAGGCCGAGATAAGTACTACCGTAAAAGCAACCTTCAGGTGTGGTTTGGCGCCGTCTGTGGGAACCTAAGGAGAATAGATGACCAACAACGAGCAGGGAGAAAAGATTGGGGACGACATCCCTAGTGGGGGTGGTAAACTTGCCAATCTAAACGTGGAAGAAGAAAACCGTAATGAAGGAGCACGGGATCAGAATCCTGGGGAGAATAACATCGGCCAAAAGAGAAATGCATCGAAGAAAGTAGGCCGAGATAAGTACAACCGTAAAAGCAACCTTCAGGTGTGGAGGGACAGATGTCGGAGAAAAGACGAGAAAACTGAAAGACATGGCCAATAAGTTGACAGATCTACAAACAGTGGTCAACCTCATAATGCAGAACAACGTGATGCAGCCGACATCCCTATTACAAGACATGCCGGCACCAGCAACCAAAACTAGTGCCTAGAAAACAAGATCTCGGCCTAGATGAGTAGGTTTGAGAAGACAAGAACTCAACCTAAGTGAGCAGATCCCGAATTCCAGATTCCGGATCCCAGATCCTAGAAGACAAGATCTCGGCCTAGATGAGTAGGTCCGAGGAGACAAGAGCTCAGCCTAAGTGAGCAGATCTCGGATTCTAGAACCTGGATCCCAGATCCTAGAAGACAAGATCTCAGCCTAGAAGATTAAGTCCGAGAAGACAAGAGCTCAGCCTAAGTGAGCAGAACCCGGATTCCAGATCTTGAATCCCGGATTCCAGTACTTGACGATGTTTTTAAGCGAAACATGACGAATAACTTAGACTTATTATATGGCAGAGTTGAATTATACTTGCATATAATAGAGTTGAACTAAATTGGCGATATTTCTAAGCGAAACATGACGAATAACTTAGACTTATTATATGGCAGAGTTGAATTATACTTGCATATAATAGAGTTGAACTAAGTTGGTGATGTTTCTAAGCGAAACATGACGAATAACGTAGACTTATTATATGACAGAGTTGAATTACACTTACATATAATAGAGTTGAACTTGGCGATGTTTCTAAGCGAAACATGACGAATAACTTAGACTTATTATATGGCAGAGTTGAATTATACTTGCATATAATAGAGTTGAACTAAGTTGGATTAACATGGACCTGTCATATCGGCAGAATCAAACACAGATTGGAACTAAGTGTATATCAGTCAGATTAACAAAGAGACCAAGGTTGGTAACCTCGGCCAGTCTTTGTTTAAATCTGACCTCGGCGACAAGGTCAAAGCCACATGCTTAATGAGAACCGAAGTGGAACTTAAGTTCACATTAGGGGGCAGAGGGCTGGAGAATGATGCTTGGGAGTTAGAATTTACAAGCTAAGATTGGTTTAACAATCGTTGAAATTTTAAGAAAAATTTACAAGTTGAAGTTAAGCTGAGGTTATGTCAAAGGAAGATTGGTTTAACACTTGTTGAAATTTTAAGAAAAATTTACAAGTTGAAGTTAAGCCGAGGTTATGTTAAATGAAGTTGGTTTAACACTTGTTAAAATTTTAAGAAAAGTTTACAAGTTGAAGTTGACCCAAGGTTATGTTGAAATAATAGAAGACAGAGGTCCTGATAAGTAAAGAGTGAAGTGGCAAGTTGTAAATAACACTTGCAAAAATATTATGATAAATATTTTCAAGTGTTAGGACAAAGCCGAGATAAAACTGCTAGTGGGTATAGCGGAAGTATTCCGTACCGAGAAGATTACACTGTTAAGGTGTACGTTGAAGACATGCAAACTATTTTAAGTATGAAAACATGCAAAGCATATAAGAAAAGCGGTAAGCATACATGATGAAAGCAATATTCAATACTTAGAAGAAAATAGAAGGCTTGCATTGAAAAGGGACAGCTTGTTCAAGTACATAAACAGGCACATCGGTCTGACAAAATAGATATTGTTCAAAACAGAGAAGAAAATTACAAAGAAAAAGGTACAATGGAAAGAAAAATTCCCAAGTACTAAGATATTGTGCATTGATCTCAGACTATTCAACCTCGGCTGTTGGCATTGTTTCGGTCTCGGCAGACAGCTGGGCAGACTTCTCGGCCGTGATTTTGGCATCGATTTCTAGAAGAGTCTGGTCCAGGCTTTTTGTAGCGGCAGTGATCTCGGTTTTAGAAGTGTCGGCCTTCTTTGGTGAGGTGCTCTTGGAAACCTCATCTTCGTCCTCCTCAATCAAGTCTAGGACTTGATCATTTAAAATAGAGGACTTGGCCCCAGCAACAGAGTAGGGGACTTGGCTCCAGCAGCAGCTTCAGATTCTTTCTCGACAACCTCAGCCCCAGCTTCTTCCTTGTCTCCGGCCTCCTTCTCGTCGGCCTCATCTACTTCCTTGGCCTCATCCTCAGATTGATTGGGAGAGGAAGGGAAACGGACATTGAGATGACCTATATCACGGAGGGGAGAGTCCTTGGGGACAAACATCTTTTTGAGGGCTGTCATCCAGTCAAGATAGTAGCCTTTGTTACATGCCATGTTGACTTGTTTTTTCAGCCTTAGCAATGGCCTCGGCTTTGGCAGCAGTAACTTGGTCCACTTGCTTCATGTGCTTCTCTTTCGAGATATTGAGTTACTGGAGGAGGCATGAGCATGTCGGATTGACTATAAGGAGATGGAGTGGATTGCACAATTATGACATCAGGGATGTCAACAAGAAGGTCTTCTACGACAAGAGTTCGGCGAGACATGTCGTTGTTGGTTACGATGATGGTTACTCACAGATAAGGCGATTGAAAAATTATCAAGGTCTAAGGCTGGAAGCTTAGGACCTTGGTGTTTCCTGTTCCTAGTTCTACCTGCAAGATTGTCGCTATGTCGGTGTTTGGACTGCCATTGAAATGGTGGGTTGATACGTGAAGCAGTTGATGAAGTGCTTGGCTGCTAGTCTGGTTCAGCTAATAGAGTTTGAACCTGGGGCACGAATGGATTATTCATGGCAATGAATGCTTCAAGAACAACGATGATGGTTTGCAGAGGCAAAAAGAGAGAGTCTAGGGACAAAGATAGAGGCAAAATAAAAAGGATGGCAAAAAGTTATGATTTCGAGTCCTTAGGCGACGTGCTCGTGCTGATGTTAGACGGCTGGGGGCAAAACTGATGCGACACGATGGAGACGTGATTAGTACGCTCCAATCTGATGATGATCTTGATTGAGAAGTGCAATCTCAGCTGAGATGATCTCGGTAGAGGTGATGATCTCGGTTGAGATGACGATCTCGGTTGACATGATGATTTCAGTTGAGATGTTGATCTCGGTTGAGATGTTGAATTTGGATGGGAGCAGAACTTGTCTATTCTTGGTTTCTTATGAGATGATACTAGGATCTTGATGTTCTTGAACTAACAAGTCATGATCTCTGCTAGTAGTGTGATCTCTGTTGAGATGTTGGATCTGGATGAGATAAACATGATGGTTCTTGGTTCTTGGTTCTTAGTTCTTGATTATTGACGAGTGGACATATGAGTCCTTATTTCTTAGAGTCGACAAGTCACGATCTCGGTCGAAGGAGTACATGTATAGGTTCCATCACCTCAGTTTGCCGAGGTAATAGAACCTAAGGGGCAATTGTGGGGACATTTTTTTGGATAGTCCACGTGACCGAAGTTGTTAGCCGAGGTGCCACGTGGGCGGACCATGATGCCGAGATATGGTGCGATAATACCGGAATCTGAGATATTTGGATAGAGGATTAGAGTCCGAAATGACATCAAACTATCCATTTGGATAGAGGACTAGAGTCCTAGATTGGGAGAAGACTTTAGTTTGGATAAAGATAAGACTCTTAGAGAGTTTATCCCAATCCTACTGGGAGTCCAAGATTAGCAGTAATTCAAATTCCATTGAAGCTAGGCTTCTATTGGGATTAGGTTTGTGTTGGCTATAAAAGGGAGGCACCCTCATGGGTCTAAGGTATGCTTTTTATGCTCTATCTAGTGAGTTAAGCACTATTGGTTATCTCTGAAAGATATTTCACTGACTTGATCGTCGGAGTGCCCCCGAGTGGACGAACCACCGCGGGATTCTTATATTTCTGTGACAGGTTGTTTGGGCTTAATCTACTCTGCCAGTACTCTCCACCTGAATTCTCCCTTTTGGTTGTGTGGTCGTAAATCAACACCCACACAATGTAATACATGGAAGGAAATACTCAATTGATAGAGTATACCCGCCATGATTCGTGTATATGACTCTTATAAGGTTTGGGTATTTTTGTTTAATGGGCATAATTAGTTTGTTGGTTACCAAAAAGTTACATCTGCCAAGTGGGAGAATGTAAGTATGTCTCCATAAAGTGGCCCACATGCCACATTAGTTTTATTTATTATTATCATAGAAATATTATTTATATTTTTATATATATATATTTAATCAGTATTATTTGGGTAACTAACATGTGTGATACCTACTACCCAATATGGTGGAGTCATGGGAGTTACAACTTCCCTGGTGGTGGGAAGTTATTAGGAGTTACAATGGATTATGGGTCCAAGCCTATCTATATATATGCTTGTGATTGCCATCAAATACAGACGTTATTTTGGTAAATAGAATTGGCTTGAAACTCTTTTCCCATATGGTTCTGTTAAAGTGTTCTGCGAGTGTGTTTTGTTTATACATTCAAGATTCGACCATTCAAGAACAAGATTTAAAGGCTTGAATATCATGGCAGGAGGTATTCTTCTTTTTGAATTAATATTATTTTAATTCTCACACAATATGTATAGATTTCCATACAGACCAAAGAATAATTGTAGGGGTCTATCTTGTTGATTCTTAAATAAGAGTAACTTATGCGTAAGAATTTAACAATTTGTCAGACATAAACCAAACAAAATCAAACTAAGCCATGCCCCAATCATGCATAATTTGTCATAATATCAGTTATATGTAGCCCTTATCAAGCAATACAGAATCATATCAAACTCAAATGTATTGCTAGGAATCTGAATTATCTTACTGGCAAAGCAACAAGATCGAAAATTTCATCGGAACAAGCCGAGATGGATGTATCAGCAACCAGCCTAGTACCACAATAAGCTTTGATTTCAAGCTCCGGCTCGACCGAGGCCATGGTCACATCGGCACCAGCTCGGCGCAGAACACCAACCAATATCACAGCTTCCATTTCTTCAGAACCAAGCCCAATTGGCACAAGAACCTGTACCCATACAAAAAAACAACACAATCAAAACCCACAAAACCCTAATCAAATCCTTAATTTCTCATTTTTTCCTTAGAAAACACAATCAATAGAGAGAAAAAGACCTTCTTGGGAGGGTGAGAGTTGGTAGTGGTTGTGGGTGTGGTTGTTGGAGAGAGAGTTTTGGTGGGTTTTGAAGAGCGTTTTGAAGTGGGTTTTTTGGGCTGTTGGGTGGGCATGGAAGCGAATGGAGAGGAGTGGAGAGTGGTGAGAGAGACAGCCATTGGAGGTTGATGTGGAGAAGAAGGGTTCAGAGGAGGAATTGAAAGAAAAGATGATAGAGAAGTCATTGTTCTATATGTATGAGAGTATATGTACGTGTTTGTTGTGTATATGAACTCTCTCTCTCTCCCTCTCTCTCAGTTTCGCATTTTGCAGAGTTGCAAACTTGCAGTGTTCTTCGGACCGCCGGCGATGAGATCATTTAAAAGGATTTGTTTTTAAAATTATACATTATCCCCAAATTACGGTTCAATATTTATTTTAGGTAAATTGCAAATACATGTATGATATCTTTTTAAAATATGATCCAGTGTGTTTAGTTTTAATTTTTTAAATTTAATTTTTAAAAATTAATTTTTTTTTTGTTTTTTGTGTTTTTTATTTTTATTGAATATTTTTAAAATTTTATGTATTTTTATTTTTTATTTTTTTAGATGTACATTACTTAGATGAGGGGCTTTTCCCAAACTAAGCCTCTTTTGCATCCTATTTTCCAAACTAGGCCTAGTTTGGACGGATTTCCCAAACTAGGCTAAAGCGCTATTACAAATCGCGCTTTCACTGTTTGGAGCCTAAAATTTGATGAATAATGAAAGCGCTATTCGAAATCGCAATTTTAATTAAGAAAACACTATTTAAAATCGCACTTTTAACATAAATTTTTTTTTCTAAAAAAAACGTGGTTACAAAAAATTTTTTTTCCAAAAAACGCGATTACAAATCGCGCTACTATTATTCAAATGCAAAATCGCGTTTTCAAATGGCGTTTTCAAATCACACCAAACCAACCCACACACTCTGACACACACCCTCCCCCACCACTCACACACACTCTGACACACACATCCCCGTCACACAATATAATTGAAAAATATAATTTTTATATATAATAATAATTTATAATAGTAAATAATAATCAATTATATAATTTTTGTAAATATAAATTATTTTTATATAATTTTTATTTTTTGAGTGGTTAGAAATAATTTTTTACAAATTAAATTGAAATAACCCTACGTATGTATATAACCTGCCCAAAAATTAAAATGATAATTAATTTTTACCCTTAAATGATAATTATTTTTTATTTTTTATTTCTTAACCAAATTAATTTTTAATTTTTTAAAAAAAGCAGAAAAATGTCAGATGTACTCGGAGAGCCGAAGATGGATCATTCTGCAAATCAATAAAGACTGGCAAGAATACCAAATCCCAGAAGAGAAGAAAGAAGAAAGTATTGCTGAAGAACAACTGAGTTCCTATCCACAACACTAGGGGCAAATTTAGCCCCCATGGGATGGATTCCTGCATCGTGAGCGAACAGCAGTCACTCTCCAGGATTTAGACAGATTCGAGATCTCAGAACCATTTGATATGGACCAAGCTACACTTTTACCCTTGAGAGGCTCGCTAAACCCGGAAGGGCGACCCAGGCAAAAGTTAAAGCGAGAAAAAGAGAAAAGAAAAGAACAAAAGAGAAAAATGCAAGAAAAAAAAAAAGGCCAGTGAGAATGCAAGACAAAAAAAATTGGAGGAAGTTAGAGTAGTCAAGCTTGTATAAATTGGATGGCTATTTTGACAGATGAAGTTAAGCAAAATGCTATCATTAACTTAGGCCGATTGAGATGATGTTGAGCAACGACCAAAGAAATTGGTTGGCACTGCTGCTCCATCACTGCAGTCTTTAGGGTTTTACGCAGCAAGAGGTGTAGTGGGAAACCTAGGGAAGAATATTTGAGACAGAGCAACCAAAAAAGAAAAAGAAAAAGAAAAAGAAAAAAGAAGAATAGAAAAAATAGAAAAATTACCTGGTATGTAGCTTATGGACAGTTCTCCAGTATGTAGAGGTCACTTGTGCAATTGGGGAGTGCTCCACATTAATCTTTAGTGACTACTTCAGAGAAACTTCAACTTTTGTCACTTTAGAAACAAAACAGAATGTAATGAAACAGGACAACATCAACGGCATAAAATAAACTTCAACATCACGACTGAATTTCAAATCCTAAATCCTAAAATAAATTTTTGTTTAAAAAATAAATTTTAAGAATATATAAATTTTAAAAATAATTTTTTTTATAGTTTAGTTGATTATTATTTACTATTATAAATTATTATTATATATATTTAATTATTATTATATATAAAAATTATATTTTTCAATTATATTGTGTGATGGGGGGGTGTGCGTCAGAGTGTGCGTGAGTGCGGGGGGGGGGTGTGTGTGTCAGAGTGTGTGCGTTGGTTTGGTGTGATTTGAAAACGCCATTTGGAAACGCGATTTTGCATTTGAATAATAGAAGCGCGATTTGTAATCGCGTTTTTTGGAAAAAAAAATAAATTTGTAACCACTTTTTTTTAGAAAAAAAATTTATGTTAAAAGCGCGATTTTAAATAGTGTTTTTTTAATTAAAATCGCGATTTCGAATAGCACTTTCACTATTCATCAAATTTTGGACTTCAAATAGTGAAAGCGCGATTTGTAATAGCGCTTTAGCCTAGTTTGAGAAATCCATCCAAACTAAGCCTAGTTTGGGAAATAGGATGCAAAAGAGGCTTAGTTTGGGAAAAGCCCCCTTAGATGAATCTAAAAGGTAAAATATTTGTGAAAAAATATTTTAAAAAATTAATAAATACATAAAAATACGACAAATATACTAAATTTTCATATTTTTTGTATTTTTGATATTTAGTGAACTTTTTATAGATTTTTTTCACGAAAACTATACTTTTTAAGTGTAATTATGTTAGATGTGTTTAAAAATTAAAAAATTTACTTAAAATATTAAAAAAATTCAGTAAAAATAAAAAAAATACAAAAAATAAGAAAGTAAAGTTTTTTGAAAATTATTTTCAAAAAATTAGAAACAAATATGGTGATTTGTTCTTATAATTTTAAAAATTATATCTCGTCTCTTGAAATTTTTAATTTCATAACAAATGATCATTTTAGTTAATAAATTATCAAATAAATTAATAATTTTTAATGATGTCAGAAATTTATTTCAATTAATAATTCAAGTAATTTTATCATTGTATAGGAGAGCAGTTAGAAATTTTATTTTCAGTTAATTCTATTAAATAAAAAAAATCTGATAAGTAGGTATTTATAATTTTTCAAATTACAAGGGACAATCTGTATTTTAAATAAATTATAGGTGTATTTGTAATTTATTATTATTTTATTATATTATTCTTAATTTTTAAGTTGTACGTTTAAAATATAGAAAAAAAATTAGTAAAACATCCCTCTCTAATTTTGTATAGTAGGAGAAGTCTAAGATATTTTTTTTTATTAGTTAAGGCTCTCAATGAAATTTTTCTGTGGTTATACCAGAGAAATTTCAAAATTTCTTTGTGAAAATTGAAATTTCTCTGTGTCATGACCAAAATTTCTCTAAGTGTAATTTTCTTGGTAAAAATGTTAAGAAACCCCAACTACTATAAAAATATTATATGTGATTTATCTAATAAAATTTTAATATAAAAAATCCCCTAAGATATAAATGCGGTGAAAGTAAAATGAACTTTTTTTTTTTGTCACAGGGAAATCCTCCCACCCTCTCGCAGGTCAAAGGCAGCGCCCTATGAGGAGATCACCAGGGTGTCTTGTTATCCGTTCCGAGTAAGAGACTATAACCTGGAAGCTTGTTCCGACCTCTCCATGCAAGCTTCAATTAAGTCAGGACTCGTACAGCGGGGGAGCATTAAACCGTGCTTCGCCCAGGAGATTGGCCCAAAGGGAGAATTGAACTTGTGACTTTGGGGCTTAAACCCCAAAGCCTTAATACAATGCCACAACCCCTTGGGTTAAGTAAAATGAACTTTGTAATTAAAGAATTCAAATATTGTGATTTTAAAGTTTAAAGAATGGAAAATAAATAGTCCTTTTATGAATTCTAAAAGGATTTATTTTTGGCCCATCATAAAATCTTACTTTGGCGAGTTGAGCTATTTTGGGGATTGTTCTATATATAAACTAGGCTGAATTACACTAACAGTCTCTATAGTTTATGACTCGTATTATTTTAGTTCTTAACTTTTCAATTATAATATATTTGATTCTGAATTTTGAATCTTATTCTAAATAAGAATAATTGAAGATATTATTGCTCAATTCAAGGGTAAACTATCAATTTGATAAAATATAAATTAATTTGACAAAAATAAATGTCAAAAAAATATTTTTAAAATTTTAAAAATAATTTCTACTCACCAAAGATAAAAGTATGTAAAATTGATAAATCTTTTAGACATTTATTTATTTTTTTACCAAAATAATTTTTATTATGTGTTTGGATGATGATCATATAATGGGTGGTTGTTACGCTTTTAATGTGTAATCGATATATTTAATATATGAAATGTTTTTAGTTTTAAATTTTTTGATTTAATAGATTGATTTAATAATGATATCAAAGTTGTCGTCATGTTTGATTTTTGAAAAAATAAAAACTAATTTAATAAAAATAAAAACAATCACCCATTACATGATCATCATCCAAACACATAACAAAAATTAATTTGGTAAAAAAAATAAATTTCTACAAAATTTATCAATTTTACATAATTTTATCTTTAGTGGGTAGAAATAATTTTTTAAAATTCAAAAATATTTTTTTGACATTTATTCTTGTTAAATTAGTTTATATTTTATCAAATTGACGACTTTACCTTTGAAATTGAGCAATGATATCTTCAATTGTCCTTATTTGGAACAAGATTCAAAATTCATAGTCAAATATGTCACAATTGAAAGTCAAAGACTAAAATGACATAAATCCCAAACGATATGAGCCGTTAGTGTTATTCACCCTATAAATTATTTATGTTATAAGTTTTTGTATATATATATATATATATATTATCAATAAATGTGATATCAAAATTTAATTTTAGTTCTAGATTTGTGCCATGAAATAAAGTGTGCGGTCAAGATTGAATTGGTGTATTGTTAGATTCATATATAGAATAAATTTGGATTATATATTGATATTTTTTAATATAATTTATTAAATTGTAATATTATTGATATTTTATTTTTTAAAAAGTTATGATGGATAGGGGTATGTGTGGACTTGTTTGGTGCAATTTTAAGTTGGTAATTAAAAAATATATATATATATATATATTTTCTAAATTTTCAATAATAAGAATTTTTTTTAACTTGAAGATACATAAAGGTAAAAAAGATTATTACCACAAATTAAGTCTAACAATTTTATACACAATAACATAATATGTGTCAATTATATGAATTTAAAAATCTAAAAAAACAAATCTCTAGCATTTTTTTGTCACAATTTTCTATTTTTATATTATCTTTAAGTAAAATTCATCAAATTTTATGACCATGACTCTCTAGCATTGATTGTTATAAATTTGAATTAACAATTATCTAAAGGTATTATGGAATAAAAATTGGGAACTAAAAATATGACCCACAATTTATATAATAATAGAGTAGATAATTATTGTGATAAACGTCAATGTCTTTAAACGTATATAAATGAATGATTTAGGATGGTTTGACATTAATATAACAAATTTCTTTAGCTTGACATTTTTTTAGTTTGACTTTTTTAGTTTCGTTTGATTTTTATTTTGAGATTTTTTTGACTTTTGTAAAAAAAAAAATGTAATAATTATGAGTAAAAAATGATATTTTGTCTTATTGACTTATATAGTTTTTTTTTTTTTTGTTTTTTTGTGTGCTTTTTTAGTCCCAAAATCTTAGCCAAAGGACCACTTAATAATAAAATCTTTATTTTCCATTTAAATCCTGATATTTTTTTTTGATAAATTACAAATACAGCTTTTAAATTTTTTTTAAATATAAATTATCTCTATGGTTTAAAGAATTGCAAATGACCTCTTATCATAATTTTTTATTTAACAAAACTAACATAAAAAATAATTTTTTTAATTCAACTTCTATATAATAATAAAATTATTTAAATTATTAATTACAATAAATTTAAATATCTTTAAAAATTATTAATTAACTTAATAATTTATTAATTAAAAAAGATCATTTTTTATCAAATTTAAAATTTGAAAGAGCGAGACCTAATTTGTAAAATTATATAAAATAAATCGTATTTTTAACAAATATATTTGTATTTTGGTAATTTCCCCCAAATCTTTTTAATCTTTATTTGCTTAAATCCCAGTTAAAACCACTCTCCATCAGAACTCGATAGGGTTTCAAATTAAGAAAACTCTGCCGAAGCATTCCATATTCTTCCATTGTTTATTGTTTCTTTCTCTATCATTCAAAATTAGGGTTTTTCCATATCTCACTTCACATATTTCCGTATTGTCGTATCAGACAAGTGCCATCACTTGAAGCCGTTATAGTTTTCTGATCATTCAATTCAATTCAATTGATTTATTTTTCCTTCTACAATCTCTGTTGGAGCTGAGTACGAGAAGATTTGGCAATATCAGGTATTTATCAGGTTACGGCTTCATGGGTTTTTGTCTATTATCGTTAATTGTTTTGTTTTTGGTTCTTTTGTTGATGAATTTTCAGTGTGTGTTGAAATTTTAGGCAAAAATAGAAGAATTGAAGCTGAAATTTTAGTCTGTTTTGTCCAGGGTTCTTTGAAAATCTTCATCTGAATTTGGGTCTCCTATGGCTAGCATATGTAGTGCATATGAGTAAATTTGGAATAGTTTTTCAGTTTGCTGCTTCAGTTTTAATGCTGTCTTTATAACTCTACAACCATTTAGAAATCCATATTTCTTTGCAAGATGCATTTTTTGACTTTTCGAACAATCCTATATTGTCTTCTTACATCACAAATTGAGATAACCGTGTGTCTTGTTGCCCAATTGGTATCCAAATGCTGCATCCAAGAGTCCAAGAGTAAAGTAGATGTTTTTATCTGAAAAGTTTGATGTGATCTATGATGCTCTTATTAAATGAGACGCGAAGAAAACAAAAGGGCACAATTTCGAATTACATGGGGGATGTGATCCCTTCTGTTTTTCTTGGCTGTGACTGTTCTGTCCTTAGAGCTGTATAAAAGGTCATAAATATGCATCTTGTTTCTGTTTAGTGTAATCATTGTTCAGTCAATGGTGGATTTTGAGTTTTAACTGACTGAAGTTAACTGTTGTTTTCAAGTCTATGTCTTAACTGATCTTCACCACCACCATAATTATTGTTGGTTCCAACTTTCAACTACTTTTTGGGCTATGGATTTTGAGGGGGCATATTCCCACCAAGCTATGGTTTCAACGTCTTGGAAGGCACATTAGTATATATATAATATGCAGCTTTCATGAGTATGATTATGTTAATGTTCAGACCACAGTCTGGAGTTAGCCATTGTTGGAACCTCACTGGTTTATTTAATGTTTGAGGAAATAATACCCTACAAATTTGAAGAGTTATTACCAATGCTTTCTCATTGCTTTGCATGTTCTGATTCAATCCTTTCATTCCTACATATTTGGTCGCTTTAGGAAGAATTATTGTTATTTATTTTTTACCTTATGGCCACGTATAAAGTGGAATAGATGTGATATATAAGTGTCCAAGCTTATGCCTTATGCATACCTGAAGCTGTTAATTTGAGTCCATTCTATCCTCACTCCCTTTCTGTCTGGTTGTCCTCTTGATACTTGGGTGGTAAATTTGAATGTGATTTTTTGGTACCCAATTGAGTCTGATGATATTTTTGCAAGGACCGATATGCACAAATATATATTTTTTTAAAAGAAAAAAGAAAAAATTGTTATTGTTAAGCTGTTTGTATGTAGGAATGGATTAGGTCAGTTGACTGTTTGCAGGAAACATAGAGATTTTGTTCATGTTAGTTTCAAATTAGTCATAATTTATCTTATGGAGTTTGCATATATAATTTATTACCTTCTGTGTAGAGGTTGGCTTGACCATCTTGTTTTGCTATATATACCATTGGTTGCAGGCAAAATTGGCCTTGGAATTTTAGGTCTGCTTACCGGTTGGATATGACTTGGCATGTTAAACTGCTCAAGTGATTAATTCAGCTACAGCGTGTTTCTTTGTCTCTTTATTTTTTTCCTTTTGCTTTGCTTTTTGGGCTATACTCATAGCCCGGTTTATACTACAATAAAATATTTTAAGAAGTTTTTTGTTTTATAGTTTACTTATAGTCCCTTCTATTCGCCATTTCCAGGAACCTGTGAGCTTTAATTGAGTCAGTAATGGCTAGTTCTCAGCTTTGATATTGCCTTCTGAATCCTCTGAACAAAGTGGTACGCATATGGAAGCTTCAAACATGAACTTTGCCCAACCACCTTCGCAGCAGAGCCAAAAATCCTCATATGGTCCTGTGGCTATTCTATGGGACATTGAGAACTGTCCTGTCCCAAGTGATGTGCGCCCTGAAGATGTAGCTAGCAACATAAGAATGGCATTGTGGGTCCATCCTGTAATCAATGGAGCTGTTACATTGTTCTCTGCATATGGGGATTTTAATGCCTTTCCCAGGCGACTGAGGGAGGGCTGCCAGAGAACTGGTGTCAAACTCATAGATGTACCAAATGGGAGAAAGGATGCTGCTGACAAGGCCATATTGGTTGATATGTTTCTTTTTGCTCTTGACAACCCTCCACCATCTTCCATCATGCTGATCTCTGGCGATGTTGATTTTGCTCCAGCACTTCACATACTTGGTCAACGTGGATATACTGTGATTCTTGTCATTCCTTCTAGGGTGGGTGTATCATCTGCCCTGTGTAATGCGGGCAGGTTTGTATGGGATTGGCATAGTGTGGCTTGTGGGGAAGGCTTTGTGCCTCCCTCTAGGGCTTTAATTCCCCCTCATGGAGGTCCGGCTGAGATTGCTGGGAATCTGATGGGGTGCCAAATCAATGATAACCTAGATGTTCAGAACGAGGAAGCAATTTTATATAGAGGGATCTCACAAAATGTTTACAACTCAAGGGATTTCTCAATGATATCACAGTCTTTATCTGAGTACAATAGTACTTCAATAACCTTGCCTTGCTTTCCTTCAACTTTAAGATCTCAAAGTCTTCCATCTGGTTCAAATGAAGTATCAGCAGCATCTGCTCCTCCTTGTGACGAGAATGATTTGATGTGGGTACAACCTGGAGATCTAAATGGTTTGAAGGCACAGCTGGTGAAGCTGCTTGAATTGTTTGGAGGGTGTGTGCCTCTTAACCGTGTTCCTCCCGAGTACCAGAAATTTTTTGGGAGGCCTCTTTATGTAGCAGAATATGGGGCATGCAAGCTTGTGAATCTTCTCAAGAAGATGGGCGACATGATAGCAATAGAAGGAAAAGGTCATAAGAAGTTTGTCTACCTTCAAAACTTGAGACCTGGCCCAAGTGCGCCTCCACTACCTCTGGCAAAGAAGGATAAGAAAGGGAAGGAGTCTCAGGAAGAGATCGTTGATATTATCACAGGTGGTGGATCTTCAGATGAGTTCTCAGATGAAGAAAGGGTAGTAGTTGAAGAACATGATGAACGGGCAGGTGTAGAGAAGACCAATCTGGGTATGTCATCTAGATGTGAAAATGATGACCCAAGTATTGAACAGTTCAAGTATGAGCTACAAGAGATTTTTGTGAGCTATTATTGTCGAATTTTCATGGGTTCTTTTGAGGCTATATATCAGCAACGGTACAAGAGATCAGTGGATTACCGGAGGTTTGGTGTGAATGATCTGGAGGAGTTATTGGACAAGGTGGGAGATGTTGTGGTTTTGCATGTGGAACCAGGAAGCAACAGGAAGTTTCTGGTTGCTGTTGGTGGCTAGATGAATAGGGCAGCTGCTATTTTTAAAATTTTTTTTGTCTTTTAATTAGGGGTCTTTGTAGCTGAGGTATGCTTGTTGCTACCCTGTTCCTCTCTCTCTGTATATATATATTTCACCCCAATGTTTCATAAAAGATGATAGGAAAAACTAGGAGCACGTATGTTTGTTGTGCATCTGATAGTTTTGAAGGTTTATCCACGTAAGACTTTGCAACAGATCTACTGCCAAAGCATATCTGTATGCAAACTAACATGCCTTTTTACATTTTGTGTTCCCATTACATGAACTGAGATTCTGAACTTGTTTTGAACACGTTTGCTCCAGATTCTGCATTTGGAGGCATGGTTGCTTGGATTTGGTCCATATTTAACATTTGTAATGATTGAACTGCTCTTGCTTACTGAGATTGTTGTCTTTGATTTTTAATTTGTATTTTGTTATCTAGGGATATCAGTACTACAGAAAACTGTGTATATATATTTTTCCCCAAAGTTTAATAAAAGTTGATAGGAAAAGCTAGCAGCATGTATGTTTGTTGTGCATCGGACAGTTTTGAAAGTTAATCTGTAAGACTCTGTAACAGATCAACTACCAAAGCATATCTGTACGCAAACTAACATGTCTTTAACTTTTTGTGTTCTTATTACATAAACCAATATTCTAAACTTGTTTATGCGAATTGGTTTTGAACACCTTTGCTCCAGATTTTGCATCTGGAGGCATGTTGCATGGGGTTGGTCCGTATTTAACAGTGGTAATGATTGAACTGCTATTGCTTACTCAGATTGTTGTCTTTGATTGTTAATTTATATTTTGTTATCTAGGGATATCAGTACTACAGAAACCTGTGCAGTTGCTTACTGGCATGGTTGTCTTTGATTGTTAATTTATATTTGTTATCTAGGGATATCAGTATTACAGAAACCTGTGCAGTTTGATGTAGTTGATAACAAAGACTCAGAATCAAAATGTTTACGACAAAAATATTTTTTCTTAGAAAGTGTTTTCTGTTGAAACAAAAGGACCGTTAGTTTCAAGAAGAGGGAGAGGGGCAAGGAATTCTGTCAGTATGTTTTAAGTCAGTCACCTTCAAATGAGAAGTGTTTTCTTTTAGTTTTGGGTGGGTACAACTATGTATGCAGTACTTGCAGCCGTCCACAAGGCATCAGAGCCGGCTGTTTATTCAGACAACTGTGGAAACTCCAATCAGTAGTACTTTTTTTATGATTTTTTTTGTTGGTTTCATCACTTGGACTTTAGTTGCTTGAGCAGTATATATAACTTATTGTCATTGTGCTGATTAACTGCTTCAGTGGTCTGTTTTCAGTGTTCCCCAAAAATGGATTGCTCTTTCTTTTTCAGCCTCCTCTATTTCTTCCTACTTTCAGTTGGCATGTCAGCAGCTCTTGTTGCGGATGATCGTAGGACGTACATCATCCACATGGACAAATCAGCAATGCCTTCTCTTTTCCCAGATCATCATAGTTGGTATATGTCAACTCTCTCGTCCCTGTCTTCGCTGAATGGGGTTCTTCCAACCCATCTCTATACCTACAACCATGTCTTGGATGGCTTTAGTGCAGTGCTATGTCGGTCCCAACTTGATCAGCTGGAGAAAATGTCTGGTCACGTTGCCACGTACCCAGAAACCTTTGGAAAGCTTCAGACTACACATACCCCGAAGTTTCTCGGCCTGGAACCAAATGTTGGGTTATGGCCTGAAGCCAATTTTGGGGATGATATGATCATCGGTGTAGTTGACACTGGAATTTGGCCGGAGAGTGAGAGTTTTAGAGATGACGAAATGCCCCCCGTACCAGAGAGATGGCGCGGTACTTGTGAGTCTGGTGTGGAGTTCAACTCTTCTAACTGTAACCGGAAACTCATCGGAGCACGCTCGTTCAGTAAAGGGATGAAGGAAGCTGGCTTGAACATCTCCAAAACGGACGACTATGATTCTCCAAGGGATTACGATGGACATGGGACACATACATCGTCAACAGCAGCTGGAAGCCCTGTGCAGGATGCGAGTTACTTCAATTATGCAAAGGGAACAGCGATTGGAATGGCACCAAAGGCCCGGCTTGCCATGTACAAAGTGCTTTTCTTCAACTACACATATGAAGCTGCTGCAACGGACACTATAGCTGCCATGGACCAAGCCATAGCCGATGGTGTCGATATAATGTCATTGTCGTTGGGTTTCTTTGAGACTCCTTTCGAACAAAACCCAATTGCAGTGGCAGCTTTTACAGCCATGGAAAAGGGGATCATTGTGGTATGTGCAGCTGGAAATGGTGGTCCTCATGGTTTCACCATTCTCAATGGAGCTCCATGGATCACTACCGTTGGAGCGGGGACCATCGATCGAGATTATGCCGCTGAAGTGACACTCGGTGACATCGGGGACCTCACCGTCAGTGGAAAATCTATCTATCCATTAGACTTGTTAGTCTCCAGAGTCCCTATATACTTTGGCTATGGAAATAGGAGCAAAGAAATCTGTGACGACTATTCTCTGGACCCTAAAGATGTTGCCGGGAAGTACGTGTTCTGTGACTCAGGAGTTAACACGTTCGAAACAGACAGAGCTGGAGCTGCAGGAGCTATCTTCAGTACTGACGACTCCATTTTTCTCCAGCCAGGAGATTTCAACAATCCATACGTGGCAGTGATTCCAGAAGTCGGAAATTCGATCAAAGACTACCTAATCAAAGCCAAGAATACAACGGTGAGTATTAAGTTTCAACTAACAGTTTTGGGTACTAAACCTGCCCCAATAGTGGTATGGTTTTCTTCCCGAGGACCGGATCGTAAATCGCCATGGATACTGAAACCTGATATCTTAGCTCCTGGAGTTAATATTTTAGCAGCATATGCACCAAACAGAGGAATTGCGCCGATTGGAGATGACTACGACTATTTGCTTAGCGACTTTGCGCTTCTCTCTGGCACATCCATGGCGTGTCCCCACGTAGCCGGTATATCAGCACTACTAAAAGCGGTACACAGGGATTGGAGTCCGGCTGCCATCAGATCTGCATTGATGACCACAGCTTACGTGATCGACAACGTGAACGGCACGATCATCGATATGACCACCGGAATAGCTGGGACTCCTCTTGATTATGGGTCAGGGCACATAGATCCTATAAAAGCTATAGACCCAGGACTTGTTTATGACTTGGAGGCTCAAGACTACATCAATTACTTGTGTGGAATGAACTACACAAACCAACAGATCAAGATCATCACCAAGAGATCAAATTTCAGTTGTGATCAAGCTAGTCTTGATCTTAACTACCCGTCTTTTATGATCCTCCTCAACAACACTAACACTACTAGTTACATCTTTAAAAGGGTGTTGACAAGTGTAGTGAATAGTTCCTCGGTCTACCGTGCTGTGGTGAATGCTCCATCGGGCATGAAAGTGGTTGTGGAGCCGCCGGCGATAGCCTTTGACGGAAAATACAGCACAGCCAAGTTCAGCATGACAGTAGAGGTTGATGCTGGAGTTGGAAATGTCAGAATACAAAGTGATTCTATTGTGAATTATGGGTATTTAAGCTGGAATGAGGTTAAGGGCAAGCATGTAGTGAGAAGTCCTGTTGTTGCTGCTTTTGCACCTTATCCAAGAGCATGAAAGGTGATAGAACTTGGAATTGCCAAAACGGAATGTCAAAGTCAAATTTTGACACCTTACGGTTCTAAAAGTTGCAAAATTTGGCAGCCATGCTGAAACGGGTGAAATGATGATATTTTTTTTTTCTTCTTTTTATTTATAAAAAATTATATTTGTGTGTGCTATGTTAAATTTAGCAGCTCAAATAGCAGATGAACTAATGCTCTCTTTGTCCAATTATAATAATGGTAGTGGCTACAACAATTGCGTCAGGGAGTACCTTAATTGTATCTTATTGTGTTTTTTTTTATTATTTATTATCAACTACAACATTATATCAATATATCAATCAATAATAATACATACAATTTATTCTCTCTTTCTCTATACATTATTTCTTACATTATTATTATTTTTGGTTGGCTTTTGTCTGTTTTAGGTATAAACTTAATGGTGAGTACAGTTAACAAGATTGTACTACATCATTGTTTTGTTCATTCAATGGCTCAGACTATGTCATGTGCCCAATTGAGCTCCCAAAAAAAGAAAAAAAAATTGTTGTTCCACTGATATAAAAACATTGATCGGTGACTTCTGCCCTCCCTTTGCCTGCCACGGGCAACCCCCTTCTCCTTCCTTCACCAACGGGAATCCCACTGCACCACATGATTTTTTCTGTTTTGGTGGGTGAGATTTATATAAAACCAAAAGAGTAGAGAATCAACGGAAAAATTAAACAAAATAAACATGTTATAAAGGTTATACGAGATCAAACTTAAACAAAATAAATATGTTATAAGACCAATGATCTGTAAAGGTTATGAGAGATCAACCAATTTTAATTTTTAGTGATTATCATTAATTGTTTTATTTTTAGTTCATTTGTTGATGAATTTTAGATAAAATAGAAGAATTGGAGCTGAGAGTTGTCTTTTGTGTGTAGGAAATCTACTCTCTCTATCTGTCTTCTTTGAAAGTCTATATTTGAATTTGGATCCCTTATTTCTAGTGCATATTAGTGAATCTGGAATCTTTTTCCCTTTACTGCTTCAGTTTTAATGCTGTCTTTATAACAATTAACAATCATTTAGAAATCGATCTTTCTTTGCAAGACGCATTCTTTACTTTTTGAACAATCTTATGTTCTTCCTACATCTGTTTTTATTTTCTTTCCCCTCGATTCCATGACCTTTATCATTTGCAACTAACAGTTGCACGCAAATTGATATAACTAGAGGGCACCATGTGTCTTGTAGCCCAATTGGTACATACACTACAAAAAAATTGACTTTTTGCTACGGTAAAATACTGTCGCTAATACTCCTAATGCCGTCGCTAATACTTTTTGCGACGACAAAATGACTTCTTGCGACGGCAAAAAAGGGGTCGCAAATGTAGGGGTTGCAAAAGAGTTTTTGCGACGGCAAGTGCCGTCGCTAATGTTTTGCAATGGCACCGTGCAGTCGCTAATAACGTTTGAAATTTCTTGACTTTTTTTGCGACGGCCCTATTTTACCGACGCTAAAATTATTATTTGAGACGGCAAAAAATACCGTTGCTAATAGTCTTTTTTTTTTTTGACAAAAACACTGTTATCTCACCTACTCCACTAAACCTAACCCACTACACCACTACCATCTCACCTACTCCACTAAACCTAACCCACTACACCACTACCATCTCACCTACTCCACTAAACCTAACCCACTACACCACTACCATCTCACCTACTCCACTAAACCTAACCCACTACACCACTACCATCTCACCTACTCCACTAAACCTAACCCACTACACCACTACCATCTCACCTACTCCACTAAACCTAACCCACTACACCACTACCATCTCACCTACTCCACTAAACCTAACCCACTACACCACTACCATCTCACCTACTCCACTAAACCTAACCCACTACACCACTACCATCTCACCTACTCCACTAAACCTAACCCACTACACCACTACCATCTCACCTACTCCACTAAACCTAACCCACTACACCACTACCATCTCACCTACTCCACTAAACCTAACCCACTACACCACTACCATCTCACCTACTCCACTAAACCTAACCCACTACACCACTACCATCTCACCTACTCCACTAAACCTAACCCACTACACCACTACCATCTCACCTACTCCACTAAACCTAACCCACTACACCACTACCATCTCACCTACTCCACTAAACCTAACCCACTACACCACTACCATCTCACCTACTCCACTAAACCTAACCCACTACACCACTACCATCTCACCTACTCCACTAAACCTAACCCACTACACCACTACCATCTCACCTACTCCACTAAACCTAACCCACTACACCACTACCATCTCACCTACTCCACTAAACCTAACCCACTACACCACTACCATCTCACCTACTCCACTAAACCTAACCCACTACACCACTACCATCTCACCTACTCCACTAAACCTAACCCACTACACCACTACCATCTCACCTACTCCACTAAACCTAACCCACTACACCACTACCATCTCACCTACTCCACTAAACCTAACCCACTACACCACTACCATCTCACCTACTCCACTAAACCTAACCCACTACACCACTACCATCTCACCTACTCCACTAAACCTAACCCACTACACCACTACCATCTCACCTACTCCACTAAACCTAACCCACTACACCACTACCATCTCACCTACTCCACTAAACCTAACCCACTACACCACTACCATCTCACCTACTCCACTAAACCTAACCCACTACACCACTACCATCTCACCTACTCCACTAAACCTAACCCACTACACCACTACCATCTCACCTACTCCACTAAACCTAACCCACTACACCACTACCATCTCACCTACTCCACTAAACCTAACCCACTACACCACTACCATCTCACCTACTCCACTAAACCTAACCCACTACACCACTACCATCTCACCTACTCCACTAAACCTAACCCACTACACCACTACCATCTCACCTACTCCACTAAACCTAACCCACTACACCACTACCATCTCACCTACTCCACTAAACCTAACCCACTACACCACTACCATCTCACCTACTCCACTAAACCTAACCCACTACACCACTACCATCTCACCTACTCCACTAAACCTAACCCACTACACCACTACCATCTCACCTACTCCACTAAACCTAACCCACTACACCACTACCATCTCACCTACTCCACTAAACCTAACCCACTACACCACTACCACCTCACCTACTCCACTAAACCTAACCCACTACACCACTACCACCTCCACTTCACCTACTCCTTACCTACTACACACTCACCCTCTTCTATATATATAGGAATCATGAATCATTGTAATATATATCAACTACAACATTATATCAATATATCAATCAATAATAATACATACAATTTATTCTCTCTTTCTCTATACATTATTTCTTACAAATATTATTTTTTTGGTTGGCTTTTGTCTGTTTTAGGTATAAACTTAATGGTGAGTACAGTTAACAAGATTGCACTACATCATTGTTTTGTTCATTCAATGGCTCAGATTATGTCATGTGCCCAATTGACCTCCCAAAAAACAAAAAAAATTGTTGTTCCACTGATATAAAAACATTGATCGGTGACTTCTGCCCTCCCTTTGCCTGCCACGGGCAACCCCCTTCTCCTTCCTTCACCAACGGGAATCCCACTGCACCACATGATTTTTTCTGTTTTGGTGGGTGAGATTTATATAAAACCAAAAGAGTAGAGAATCAACGGAAAAATTAAACAAAATAAACATGTTATAAAGGTTAGAAGACCAATGATCTGTAAAGGTTATGAGAGATCAACCAATTTTAATTTTTAGTGATTATCATTAATTGTTTTACTTTTAGTTCATTTGTTGATGAATTTTAGATAAAATAGAAGAATTGGAGCTGAGAGTTGTCTTTTGTGCGTAGGAAATCTACTCTCTCTATCTGTCTTCTTTGAAAGTCTTTATTTGAATTTGGATCCCTTATTTCTAGTGCATATGAGTGAATCTGGAATCTTTTTCCCTTTACTGCTTCAGTTTTAATGCTGTCTTTATAACAATTAACAATCATTTAGAAATCGATCTTTCTTTGCAAGACGCATTCTTTACTTTTTGAACAATCTTATGTTCACGCAAATTGATATAACAAGAGGGCACCATGTGTCTTGTAGCCCAATTGGTACATAAATGCTACAGAGCCTCGCTGAATTGGTACATGAAGAGTTTAATGTGATGTATGATGCTCTTAATAACGATGCGAAGAAGAGGCGAGAAAAGCTTGAGGGAAAATATGCTGTTTATTAATGAATTACATTAGATCCAGCACAATTTTTCTGTTTAGTGTAATCATTGTTTGGTCAGTGGTGGTGTTTTTTTTGTTAATAAATTTGTTTTCTACGAAATGTGAACTGACTGAGGTTGACGATTGTCTTCAAGTCCATGTCTAACTTGACCATCACCACCATAATTATTGTTGTCAGCTATAATCCTCAAAATAATATTTTTAAGTCATGCTCTCTTGTAGGCTGAGTTGATATAGTTATTGTAGACGGGTAGTAATTTAAACAAGAATTTTGTCAGCTGGAAATTAAAATTATGAAGATTTTTATAATAGTATCACGTTGTGGTACCATAATTATTTTATTAAATGGAGGTTTATAATTTGCATATACGTCTCCCTTTAGCCTTAATTTTGTCCTTGCAGTTCATTTAATTTTTGAAGTTCAGTACCATAGAGGGATTCCACCTCTTTTTCTTTTCTTTTCTTTTCCTTTCTTTTAATTTCTAGAGATATGATGGCAGTATGTGATATGTAGTATGAGACTTTGGTTGTTTTTTATTTTGTTTTTTCTTTCTGTGAAGGACTCCTTGTTTTCCTTTTCTCTTGTACTTTTCTTCTTTTCTATTAATTCTATTAATATTTGTTGCCGATAAAAAAGAAGTTGCGTATTATGATCCTTCCAGCGGCACTGAATTTTTTTATTATTTGATTTATGTTGTCTCATCTTGTCATGCATGTTACAATCAAGCCTAATAGCATCACACTCAGACACCTATTCATTGACAGTATCTTGTATTGTTCCTTCATTTTGGTTCGGTAGATACACAAGTAAGAAATAAAAAAGTGCTTGTTGTCATGCCTTGGAGTCAGATAACAATCACACACAAGCACCCAAACAAGAACACACAAATATTTACATGGTTCGGTAAAATGTCTACGTTCATGGGCAGCAAATTTCACTATATGGAGAGAAAT